GGTTCGTGGCCAAGTGTGAACCGGAACCGGTTCCTATTTTTTTCTGTTTTTTTTCTTTTCCTTTTCCTTTTCCTTTTCCTTTTCTTTTTTTTTTCTTCCTCCGCGGCCGGCCATAGCCAGGGCCGGCGCGGAGGTCGCCGGCCTCTAGGCGAGGCGGCCCTCGCCGGCGTCGGGCGAGGCCGGCCCTCGTCTGGGCTGGGCGAGGCCGGCCTCGCCCGACGCCGGCGAGGTCGAGCCTCGCCCGGAGGCCGGCCTCGCCCAGACGCCGGCGAGGTCGAGCCTCGCCGGTTGCGGCGAGGCCGAGCCTTGCCGGGCGTCGGGCAAGGCCGGCCTCGCCCGGCCCGAGGCGAGCCGGCCTCGCCCGCCGCGCGAGATCGAGCCTCGCCCGATTGCGAGGCGAGCCGAGCCTCGCCTCGCCCGGCCTCGCCCGGCCCGGGCGAGGCCGCCCTCGCCCACGCCCGGTGAGGGCCCCTCGCCCGGCCGCCGCGACCTCCGCGCCGGCCCGGCCATGGCGCGCCCGGCCCGGCCATGGCCCGCCGGCGGCGCGGAGGAAGAAAAAAAAATTAAAATATAAATTATAATTTTAAAAAACAGAAACAAGGAAAAAAGACAAAAGAGAAAAAGGAAAAACAGAAAAGGAAAAGGAAAAGAAAAAGAAGAAAAACAGAAATGAAAATAAAAAAAATTAAAAAAATACTATTGTTGTGATAGAACATTATTCAATATAAATTGTGATTAAAATGTAAATTGTACTCAAATTTGGGGACAAAAAGACAAGAGAGAAAGAGAGGGCTTCAACTTAATAAATTATCATTAAGCACATTACAATTCGTTACAATGATCTTAAAAAAAAAGGAGTACAATATATATACTCTAAAATTATCCCTAAACCTAAGCATTCCGTGCGCAGGGGACCAGAGGTCACATATCGTCGGATTATATTTCCGTTTCCCTAAGTTCACGTGGGCGTACCCGGTATGAGAAACAAGAGTTCCCGAAATATTTGCCAACTCCAATAGTTCTTTTACCCTCAATCATCACTACCCGTTCCATCTACCGATAGTGGCGTGCGGTAGTATCTCCGTCGTTAAAGAATTCGAATTCATTATTCCGATCTATCTCTTGTTGCCGGTATTGAGCCTTCGTCCAATCAGCAACACAAGCTTGCATCTCCACTGATTCTGGATATAATCTTGAACGATGTTCGTTCAAAATATTACCTCCGGCACTAAATGCTTGTTCGACCGCAACTGTGGAACAATGGGTTGAAAAAATCTGTTTTGCAATAAGAGAAAGGATTGGGTATTGGCTTGCGTGCCTCTTCCACCAATCCAAAATAAAAAAATCTGTACCACCTTCGGCTTCAGTAAACTCAAATAAAATGGTTAGATAACTCTCTAATTTAGAAATATTTCCTATTACTCCCTTTTATTTTTTTTGTCTAAGTAATAAAAGTTGGTACCCTCTACTAATTTTACCTGTACTGTCATTTTGTATCTCCATAGATTGAGAAGATCTAATATCACCTAAATTATATTTAGTATAAAATTCATTATATAATTCTATTACTACGTTTTTAACCTCACGTACTATGGTTGTAACATTTGTCACATCATAATGTAAACATTGATAATACGCACGCAAAAAATCATTTAAGCCATCCAATTTGCAACACGGATAAAAAACACAAGTAACTAAATAAATCATGAGAATTTCACTATAATAATGAAGCCATTTCATTTTCATTGCAACTATAGTATGTTGTAATTCAACATCATTTTCATATTCATCAAAAGTTCCGACAATATTAGTACACTCTACTAAAAATAAATGTGTAGTAGGATAATAAACACCAGACAAAGTATAAGTTGCATCATTAAAAACCTTTAAAAGATCTAAAATTTTTTGGCAAATATGCCACTCTTGTGGGTATAAATTAATCTCAGGTATATTATTAGAAATGAATGCATATAATAAATCTTTATATGCTAAAAATTCACTAAGCAAGTGGAAAGTAGAATTCCAACGAGTTGGAACATCTCTTGGAAATCTTTTTGGCTTTTTGCCATTATCTCTACAAAATCTACCCAATTCTTTCATTTTTTTGGGATGTTTCCATAAAAATTGAATCGCCGTTTTTATTGGTTGAAGAAAAATATCAAGAGTTTTCAAACCATCTTGTACACATAAATTTAAAACATGACAAGCACATCTAATGTGAAAAAATTTTCCGCCAAAAGCGGGTTTACAAATATTTTCTAACTCGGCAATTGAAGCGGTATTTGCTGCGGCATTATAAAAACCAATTGAAAAATTTTTTTTAAGCAAATAATATTCTTCTAAAACTTGCCTAATTAGTCTATAAATATTATTTGCCGTATGATGATCATCGAAAACTCTAAATGCAATAACTCTTTTTTGAATAGTCCACTCGTCATCTATCCAATGACATGTTATGCCCATGTAAGAATGATTTTGCCAATGATCACTCCAAATATCACTACCTATATGCACGCATCCATTAAATTGCATAAAAAAATTTTGTAAATCATTTTTTCCATTTTTGTAAAGATCTTTAATTACTCGTTTAGTTGTATTTCTAGAAACACGTTTTGCTTGTGGAGCACATGCTTTTTGTACAAATTCATTAAAACCAAATCTTTCTCCAAAATTAAATGCTAAATGCTCAACGGAAATAAATTTGCCTAATTCTTCCTTATAAGTTTTTTCATTAAAATGAAATAAAGGGGAAGTGTTAGGATTGACGTACCCGGAAATTTGTTGTTGCCCGATATCGATTCCCGTTTCGGTTGTATGTTTGCTCATAAGATGTCGTTTAAATATTCCATATCCTTGTCCACCTGTATATTTATATATTTTTCCACAATATTTACAAATTATATCATACCTTTTTTGACCGATATCAAACCTTTCCATTTTCGTGAAGTGATTCCAAATGTCAGATGTAAATTCCCGTTCCGCTTCCTTTGTTGTAGATATTTCAGCAGGAGGATGAAAACTTTCTTGCGTCAGGACGCGCTCCACATCGTGAAAAATGTTAATTTCATCATCTTGAAAATCTGCATATTCACGAGGATCAAAAGAATGATGGGATTCCGTCGCGATATTCTTACCTTTGCCAGTTGGCACTCGACTTCCACTTGCCATTTTTCGAATGGATTGAGAGAATTGAGCGGATTAATTGGGAGAATTAAGAAAGAATTGCGTGGATTGAGAAAATTGAGAGAATTTCAGAGAATTTGAGAGAATTTCGAGTATTGAGAAAATTTGAGACTTGAGAGAAGAGAATTGGAGAGAATTTGAGAGAATTGTGTGTGTATTGTGAGAATTTGAGAGAATTTATAGAAAAAAAATAGAAGAAAATTTAGAATTAAAAAAAATAAAACATAACCGTTGCAAAATTGCAACGGTTATGTGTTTTTTTTTATTTATTATAAAAACGCCCGTTGGGGCTACTAGCCGTTGCCCCAACGGGCCGCACCCTGGAGTCTTTGCGGCACGCGCGGGCTGCACGTGCTGCGAGCCTGCTGCGGATAAATAAATTTTTTTTTTTTTTTTGGTTGGGCCGTTGGCCCGTCCCCGTTCTCCTGGTCAGTACTGCTGCCAGCTGCGGCATGGCTGCAGAGCCACACCTTTGCAGTGTGTCTTTAACCTGCCAGCTTTTTTTTTTTTTTAAATTTTCTTTTTTCGCGAAACGGCCCGGAACCGGCGGTTCAGGCTGGTTCAAATTTTTCAGGCCGGAACCGGGACCGTATGCCACGGGCGGTTCGGTTCCAACCAGAGGCCCGGTCAACGGGCCGGGCCCGGTTTGACCGGGCCGGTTCCGGTTCCGGTTCCGGGCCAAAACCGGCCCGTGGCCACCTCTAGTACCGGGTGACATATGCACAAGTCAGTATGCAGATGATGACCAAGATAATCAAAGTCTACTAATGTGAGGAATTCATTGGATTAATTTCCAAAAAAGTCCTAAACATACTATACTAGTGCCAATTTAGTTTTAAACTTTTAATTTGGCCAATTTAATCATGAACTTTTTGACAATTTGCCAATGTAGTCATTCCAACCAATTTTAGCCAAAAATCGCTAACATGGATGCTAGATGTCTTACGTCGCACGACCGACGCTGACATAGATGGAAATTTTTAATTTTTTATATGTTATTTTATTTTTTTCCACTGTGATTGGCGAGAACGCGAAGGTCTCAAGGGCTTCTTTCCTATGACTGGTGAGGTCTACCCTAGGCGAGGCCCCAGTGCCTTCGCCAGCCACTATGGAAAAAAAATATAAAAAATAAGAAATTCTTTTGAAAAATTACAAAAAAAAAAATATTCACGTCAATGTCAATCGTGTTATGTAGAACGGTTAGCATCCACATCGGCGGTTTCTGACCAAAATTGATCAGAAAGACTACATTGGCAAATCGTCAAAATGTTTAGAAAAATTGGCCAAATTGAAAGGTTTAAGACTCAATTGGCACAAGTGCAATAGATTTATGACTATTTTGATAATCTTCGCGTTATCCAATTTTATTTAATAAATCATCTTTCTAAATAGAATAATTTGATTGGGAGGATGAACACGTGCTACTTTTGAAATATGTATGAATTTGCTTTCATGGGACTCTTATGTATCAGAGCATCCAATATCTAACATCTTCATGACTGCACATTGATTTAATTAGACCCATCCTACTCGATCAAGTCAATAACCATCAAAAGTTCATTAAAATTATGTAGGCCCCCATCATGAAATCCAGCGTTATGACTATATACAATATATTTTCGAATTGGTGTTAAAGTTAGGCCCATTCTTTTTTTATATTCAGGGGAAAAAGGATATGAGTTGACTTGGAGTTTTGAAATGGAGTACAATCTACCGACGCTGTTGACTCCGGTTAGAGCACAAATCCACCGACGCCTCTTGAATCGTGAATCGTCACGACGTCTTCGTGTACGATATACAATATTTCTTGAATGAAATAACAATCAATCTTCTATATTCGAGAAGATCATATCATTTATTGAACATTGGAAATAAATAACAAGAATGAAAGAACAAATGTAGCTAATTTGTCATCTCCACTTAGGAGAGTTCTTTCTCGCTGTCTTTTCCTCTCAAAATAGATTCATTCAACCTCCAATTTGTAGGGGGATGGTTATATCAACCCGCTCATATAAGGCACGCCCGTTTGAGGCAACCAGTCGTCCCCGAGCAAGAAGCTTGACACCGTGAAGTTCACCGCATCCGTGGCATTGATCATGTGGTACCCGGGCCACGTGACCCGATTCGTGGTGTTCGATCCAGGTCCGGTATTGTTATACTCCGCATAGTACAGAGTGCTCAATGCAAAGTCCCCATCCCAAATTTGCCACCCGGCGGGATTTATTAGACTATCCATGAAGCTTTGCATGTACACTGTCCTCGAGTATTGCTTCCACGGCCTCCCCAGATACGTCTGCACAGAGGTATTGCTTGAGGCCAGGTCGTTAGCCGCCTTGATAATGCAGTTGTGAATGGACGTGCCCGTGTTCTGGTTCACGTCTGTCCGGCCCTGGGCGGTGATCATGTTGGATTGGCCGCTCATTGGGAGGCGGGGGTAGAGGTTGCAATTCTGGAAGACGACGGCTGCGTTGCCAAAGATGAAGTCGACCGTGCCATAAATATCGCACTCCCGATAGAACTGCCTCAAAGAGTGTGTGTAGAGAGTGTCTTGGTACGCCTCGAAACTGCAACTATAAAACATCGATAGGTCAGCTCCACTGCGGACGGCCACAGCTTGATGCTTTGCTGGCCCGGCCGTGTTCCGAAAGGTCATGTTTACCGCCACAAAATTTGGTGCCACCACGGCTGCAATAGTGATAATGAATTAATGACATCGATCTCCATTATTATAGTAGGATTTGAAGATGAGACTGGACAACAAAGAAATTTAATGAAATTTACGATAATATGCTCTTGATTTGTTCTTTTACTTTGTTTTATGGGCCTGAAAATAAGCTTTAGCTTATTGAATGCCTTTACTTGCTTTAAGATAAAGTATACAACTTTTGTAAGTGACATTTGACGAAAAAAAATGCTCCATTTGATAGATATACTAATTAAATCTTAGTATAACTCTATCAAATGCCAATAGTGGAGACATGTCAGTTAAGGCAGCAGAATTCAAAAATTAATTTAGTTGGTGAACCGCCCAATAGCTTAATAATGAGTTCCCTGTGCCGTTTCCCGCCCTGGAAAGTTCTAAATAAGCAACCCAATAAATTATTATGAAACTTCTGAATCAATTTTTGTCAATTATTATTAGTTAGAAAGATCAATCACTTATATCCAATTACTAAAATAGAAATATAGTACCTACGTAACGCTAAGGTTGTGGAAAATCCATATGCAAAGTGCAGTCTTACCGAATGTTGAGGAATTGAACATGGTCCACCCATCGACCACGTTCCGGTTGCCGGTAATCACCGTTTGGTTGATGCCGTCTCCAATCATCATGAGATACTTCTTATTCTTGGCAATGGACACATACTCCTCGTAAACATCGGCGGTTACATATATCAAGAAATACCCACTCTTGCCATCGGTGTTGTTCGGAGCCACCGCGACCGCGTCGTTGATGGTTGTGAAGTTCCCAGTCCCATCCTGGCTCACCACCACCATATCGCTGACCAAGACAGAATCATCCCCGCTCGATTGAAGGAGCGTCCTCCTCGTGACCGACTCGTAAATTCCTCGTGTACGACTCGACATCGTGAACGACATGCGGCCATTCTGGAACGGTAGCTGCCGGCTCTTCGGCTGCCGCACGCCAGTGCCGCCGTTGCCTTTCTTCTTCTTCGGGACCCAGCCCCTCGTGAAGAGCGCAAGCGAGACGCTGGACAACTTCGTGTCATTGGCAAGCGGCACAGAGAGGCCGCTCTTCACGCTCCACGCAGAGGCAGTTGACTGGAGGCCATCGAGGCATGTTATCTGATTGGTCAAAACAGCACTAAGTACGGTCTGAACGTCATCAGCCTTGAGAACCGAGAGGGCCGAGCTCGTCGCGTTGATGGCCTGGAAGGAACTGAGGAGGAAGTCGAGGTTGAGCGAGGCGAGGAAGCGGCAGTCCTCAAGGGCACGGACGGCAGGAATGGTGAGGGAGGCCTGCCGGGCGAGGTACTTGTCAACCAGGGCGAGGAACTTGCTGGCCTGCGAGAGGGACTTGCGCACGGAGGAGCGGCCAAAGTAGTAGATGTCGCCGGTGTCGTTGCTCGGCAGGTTGGATCTGCAAATGGAAGGGTAAGGAGTGGACATGCATATCGTCCCGGTCGAGACGAGGCTGGTCGAGGCAATGTCAGCACCCGCGAAGCTTAGGGAGGCCAAGAACGGAAGAACAAGAAGGAGAGGTAGGAGCACGAAAATGGGCGAGCTTGCCATTGCTGGAAAAAAGAGATAGTTTAGAGGGCTGTGATGAACGGTGGATTAGGTTTAGTTTCATTGGCTTTTATAGAGCGAGAGAGAGAGAGATGTAATGTCTTCGTATTGTGATTGCTAGCTGGAATTCAACCGGAGCGGAATTCAGAGAAAAAAGCGCGTCGATCTCGAGCTCGCTTTCCATGCAAAATTTTTGGACGCGAAGAAAGACAGGAAGTCAAGTGCGGTGCCGTGGGTCTTCGCTTATTCCTTTATTTTATATGGTTTTACCAGAAGAAATAACGTATTTGCATGAGCCCTTTGTGTTGACGTCAACGTACGTGCGAGATGTACAGTTTGTTAATAAATGCTCGGGCAAGAAAAAGCAAACTCGAACTCGCTATCATTCCCAAGCTTAGGTTTTCGAGGAGGCGAATTTAGACATGAGAGCTAAAAGAAAGGATCCGTCTAGATCTTCAGAGGGCTTGCTTGCTTGTAAAGTTGTAAGGACTTTACTAAAATGAGAAGTCATTTCACTTAAAATTTGGAATCTATCATCGAGTACAGATTTTTTATTTTTTAGAATCTAGAACCTACCTGTTAAAATCTGGAACCTACCATGTCACAGGTTCCAAGGTAAGTTTCAGAATCTAGCAGGTTTTTTTTTTTTTGCATTTTTAATTAAACAAAACAAATATGAACTCAACAATACTAAACAAGCTTATCATTCATCAAAGAAAATACAAAAGACTAGTTTTCATAGCATTACGGTTCAAATAAATGTAACTAAAATGAGAAGTCATCGAGTGAATCGATATTAGGGGTAAGCAATTCTATGTTCCGTATAGGTTCCACCCATGATAATAGATTCCTCATTTTTTTGAACTTGGAACTTACCCTATCACAGGTTCGATGGTCGGTTCTAGAGTCTACTCAGGTTCCACCTGTATTATTAATTAAACAATTACAGTGAATCATCACCTTAAATAACCACTACTTACTGCTATGATCCACTAACCACAACTTATATTTAGACACACAAATAATATGAAACATTAACAAGTCATAAAATGAAAGTTCAGACTAATGGTTCGAGATCATATACTCATCATCTAATACCATAAAACACCGCAGGATCATGTGAAAACAGGTTCCAAGTTCCAGGTTCCACCTACCTAGAACCTGGAACCTACTTGTCAAAACAGATTTCCCAATTTTTGGAACCTAGAACCTACCCTGCATACCTTGAAACTTGGAACCTACAGGTTCTCATTGGTCAGGTTCACAGGTTCCAGGGTAGAACTTGGAACCATGCTCACCCCTAGCGTGCACAAGGCGCGGAAAACAGTTTCCACTAGCACTATTTAATAAAGGAGATGTATGCATATTGATTTTTCGTGATTGCATTCGCAATTTTTTGAATGATACCGAGAATTTTCTTTTGTTGCTACTTTATGGAGGATTAGTTATACTTCCTTATATGTAACAAAAGTGAAAGATTAATTTATTCACTCGGTTTGCTTCTTAATAGGATAAATAAATTTTCGTCACACGAGTGTTTTGTCAAAATGAAAATAAGGATCGAGATTATATTAAATTAGAGGCTAGCCGCACATGTTCAAGTCGCCTGGACTACTTCGTCGACAACATTGCCTAGGCTCCTTTGCCGTCATCGCCTCTTTGTCACTGGCTACCTCTCTCCCTGATACGTGAGACCCATGAACATCTCTCTCTCTCTCTCTCTCTCATTTTGTTTCCCAAAGTGCTTGGCTAGGTTTAGATTGAACTATCGATGGGCGCCTTTACGTTACATCTCTAAATGAGAGCAGTAAGAAATGATGACGGAATAAAGTTTATTTGATGAATTATTATTGAGGTGAGCATGTCAGGGTGTTAGGCGAAAGAAATCCCACATTGGGGATGCAGCGTATAGTGGAGAGATTAATATAATTTAGTCATACTGCTAATTAGTGGCTTAAATTTTTGAGGAAAAGTGCGTCTAACTGGACATTTTAATGGGCTCTAGTTTGAGCTCCCTATCGTTGATCTAAAGGCATCGGACTTATCAAAACTAATTATTTTTCAAGGGGTAGGCTCAAATATGTGTGGGTCGTGTTTAGTAATTATCTCAAGGAATGAATCTTGAATGTAACTCCCTATTGAGGTGGCGGATGGGTGCATGTAAGGTGAAAAACTTAAAATATCATAATTGACCTATGATTTATCAGCTAAAATTTGATTATCTTCTCAAATTAAGGTATTTATGTTTTTGTCGTGCGCCCTAACAATTGTCATCGACTTCATGGGGCTCAACTTCCCTGTTGCAACTCATTGATTGCACGTGCTAATGAAAAGGGCAAAAAAAGGACAAATAATTGGAGCCGATGAAGGCGAATCCTTGCAATTACACCCCTCACCTAATCCATAAAATAATTAAAGCGAGATTTTGAATATTAGAAAATCTTGATCTAAGACACGTACGACTTGAACTGGTGGATGGAAGAGTAGCTACTTTTTGAAATAATCGTTAAAAAACATCATTAAATACTCTCGGGTGCGTGGAGAGAGAGTGTCGGTGGGCCTTGGTCTTTCTTTTTGAGGTGTGGGAAATTTGAGAAATAAAATTGCAATTTGATAAATTATGCATCGGTAAAAAATATAATTTAAAATTCATTGTAACAAGTGATGACGATCATCGTAGATTTTGAAATGTGAAGAGAATATTCGAAATGGGAAGTAAAGACCAACATAATATTTGTAATTTTTTCAATTTTTTTTTGTTTAAAGTAATGTGAGAGTGGATTAGTTAAGGTCTATTGGCTGCAACGTCGTTGGATTTGTGTGCAATGGAGTCCACAAAATCCAAAACGGTGAGAGACCCCACAATCTGCGTTAACCATAAAAAGAAATGGTGCGGAGTTTGAATATGTTATCATCATAGTACGTATTAAAGTGGAGGGTTTGAAAATCCAACAGCGAGCAGATAATATGAATGTCTTAAAAATATATTCATTAGTACTCATCAGGAACTTGTTAAGATTTTTCAAGCGACTTCATTAAAATGTGTATTCTTCCATTTTCAGAATGTCTTAAAAAGTGTTATTTCAAATTTTGGTAATTCAATTGGAACCCTAAAATCATTTGTTAACAAGACCCTTTACTCAAACAATAATGACCGCATTAATTGTAAAGTTCACATTTTAGAAATATATCTCAAACTATTAACAAGTATCGTGAAATTGTAAGGACATTCTTTAAAATTTTTCATATGAATAATATGTCACAAGAATTAAAACGATTTTCACATACGCCCAAAAGCACCACATGCTTTCAAGAAATGTTGGGGAGCCAGAAATCTCTCGAGAAGTGGGGAATTCTACATACGCTCGCCTAATTAGTTCATTTAACATTTGCCATAGCTTCATGTGGAAAAGAACGCCATATATAAAAAGTGATATATTAACATTTTCTTTTCTTTCTATATTTGATTAAGATAAAAGCAACAAAGAGTGCTATTAAATAAAATTCACAAGTAGAGTATAACAATGGCATCGCAAGAGTTATTCTTTTGAAAGAAAATTCACAAACTCGACATGTAATAATATGTTTATAATCTTTATATGTATGCCAAGTTGCAATCTAGGAATTTCCTATTGGCCTACTTGCAATCTTTCGTTTAGGGGAAGTTGAGTTGGATAATTAATCACTTGTCAAGTCAATGTGGATGCAAGCATTCTCTCGTTTGACTAAGTGCACCGCCAAGCGTGTGAAAGCTGCCGGATATTATCTCGTGTTCTATACGTCCTCCAATTGGGCATTTGTTAGTTCTAGCCCCACCATCTAGTCTTTAGTTTGTGAAACGAAAGTGAAACTCTACGTGCACGTCAAGCCTTATGTTGCGGTGCGATTTCAGGAGCCTTATGTTGCGGTGCGATTTGAGGAGGTGCAATTGTCAAAATGACATTGTTTTTTACGGAAATTACAACGATACCGTTTGAAAGGGGGGAGATGAATGTTATCTTCGTGTGACACAATCTTGGGAGTCCCATGCCGATCGATTTGTTTTGGGTTCTTCTGGTGCAATTGTATGTGTGAGTCGAACAAGGCGCTACAAGTACTGCTCATCCCATGGGATGTCCCCTGGTTTAGAGATAAGTGGGATGTTTCGTGTGTCTAGGGTTTGCTCATCAAAGGTGGATTTCCTTGTCGAAAAAAAATCTACTAGTTTTATCTTGGAAGGATCGGTTTATAGTAACACCCTTTTATGATGTTTAGCTCACCGACCCAAACATTGCATTGCAACTTTAAGAAAAAAAATGAGAGATGGGTCAATTCACCTCATAGCAATAAAGTTAGGCAGGTCTGAGTTTACTCAATTTTTTCGAGAGTATTCAATGAAAGATTAACACATGATGAGTTGGCTCATGTTAGAAAATTACATATGATCTTTCACAAAAACCCAACTCATCCACCTCTCTCACTTCCTCATCCTCATTCTCATAGACCAGCCACCACCGCTATCTCTTGCCATAGACACTACCGCTGCTGGAAAAACCAGTGTTGTCCACCGCCGGCATCTCTACGATTACCACCGCCACTGGCTCCCCCAACCACCCACATTGTTGTAAGTATTTGTATATCTACCTACAATTTTCACCTTACAGAGCGACATTTATATCTAATAAAAACTATGTGTATGGATAACATAACTAACTTGCAGATACCCGAATCATTATTCCCGTGCGACATCAAAATCTTAGAGCCACATTCAAAAATGTTTTCTCGTGCATTTTTACTAATTATAATCGTATAATCCTAAAATCATCAATATCGATTTAGAGATTGACTTGTGAAGCGATGCGGCGATTCTCCATACGGATATCGTATGAATAAAACATTCAAGTTATTCAATCATGGCTTAAAGTTTGTGGAATCTCTAAGGACCAAACTTTCTGACCTCGAAATTATTCTTAATTATTTGTCAACGTCTCGAAATCATTCTTTAATCATCTGTCAACAAGCTTATGCCTTCATTAATCCTATCGACCTCCCCTGGAGGCTCCCTCCCATTGGGTGGAAGCTAGCCCGAATGCCAACTTGGGGTTTCATCAGCGTATAAAACAAGTTGGAAACCTTGGAGTTCAACACGGAAACATGTGCAGCAGAAGCGACGAAGGGTCCTTGGTTGTA